AAGTTGAATTGAAAGGATTTGCAGATCACTTGGTTGTATCGAGAAAGACAGAGAAGACTGTGGTTTTAAACCTGAGCAACTGGAAGGACAGAATTGTCATCTATCAGGATAGGAGTGATTGAAGAACCGGAGTTTTGGGGGAGAGAGGATACATGGGAAGATTGGAAGTTCAGTTTGGGACATTTTTTGACATACCTATTAGTCATCTAAGTAGAAAGGTTGAGTAGTCAGTTGGATATCCAGGTTCAACTTGTGCAGGGGAATGGTTTGGGGTAGAGATATAAATTTGGGAGTCCTCTGCATATAAATAGCATTTAAGGTCATGAAGCTGAGATCACCAAGGGAATTAGTGCAGACTGTAGATGAAAAAGTGGTGCAGGGCATGCTGATGTTAAGAAGCCAGGGAGTTGAATAGGAACCACTAACGGGACTGAGAAGGGCCAGTGAGATAGGAGGAAAACAATAAGAATGAGGTGTCTTGGAAGTCAAGTGAAGAAAAGTGTTCTTGGGGCGCCTGGGTGGCTCAGTTGGTTAAGCAACTGCCTTTGGCTCAGGTCATGATCCTGGAGTCCCGGGATCGAGTCCCGCATCGGGCTTCCTGCTCAGCAGGGAGTCTGCTTCTCCCTCTGACCCTCTTCCCTCTCGTGCTTTCTCTCATTCTCTCTCTCTCTCAAATAAATAAATAAAACCTTTAAAAAAAGAAAAGTGTTCTCAGGTGGAGGAAGTTATCAACTGTGTCGTGGTGCTTATAGGTCAAGTAATATGAGTACCTAGAATAACATTTGTATCTTGCAGTGCTGTGGCCATCAGTGACCTTGACAAGAGCAGTCAGTGGAATGAGAAGGGCAGAAATCTTAGGAGGCTCAAGAAAAGGGAGGAAAGGAGTTGGAAGCAGGGAACATAGGAAACAATTACTTCCCTTCATTTAACAATCACTTCTGAACAATGAAAGTAAATATAACTAGATATTTTAAATGAGTATAATTAGGGTTATTGAGAAGTGTTTCATGGATACTAAATAAGATGTGTACTAATATGAAGACACTTCAGGAATGTTAGTTACAGGTTTAGTATGGTCCTGTGTAAAACAACTAAGAAACCATTTATCAAGTCAAAGAAGTTCCTAATTTCTCTAAATTCTCTATACATAGTTTAAGGTTTTATCATTTTTTAAAGTGTCTTGATTATTTTCTGTTTTTTTCGGCATTAATGGAAATGGCCCTAAGATTTATCTCCTTCATTTGTGTTAGATTACATTAGTAGATGTTTCTAATGTTGAACCATCCTTTCATTCTTAAGATATATCCTACTTGGTCACATAGGGTTTTATTATTACTATTTTTTGTTTTGTGCTTTTTAAAAATACATTGATTCATTGTATTTTTTATTTTTTTAGTCCATGTTTTATAGTAAGACTGATTTTTAATTGTCTTATGTTATTGTCCAGTTTTGGTGTCAAGGTTATATTGCCTCATAAAATAAGTTGAGTACTTTTAAATAATTGACATTTTTTTCTTGGTTAGCATTTGAGAAAATTATCTGTTCCTTGAAGATTTCAGAAAGCTGCCTTGGAAAGCATCTGGGTTTGGTGTCTCTTTTAAGAAGAGGACACTTAATTACCAGTTTAATTTCTATGATAGTTACTGGCTTATACAGCTCTTCTGTTTTTATCTGTTTGGGGAATTCATTTATTTTCTGGAAAATTATTCATTTTATCTGTACATTTTCAAATGTATAGGCATAAAGAACTTTATTGTGATTTTTTTAATCTGTATTATATATGTAGTCATATCACCTTTTTCATTTCTAACATTCTTTTTTAATCACTTTTGCTCTACGTGTCTTTTTAAATATTTTACATATTTCAGAGGACGAACTTTTTTTTAAATATAAAAAAATAAACAACCATCTTTTATTTTGTTGATCTTCTCTAGTTTCTTTATCAATTTCATTGAAACTTTATTCTGTTTCTTCTACTTCCTTTAGGTTTACTCTCTTTATTCTTAAATTGAAATGCTTCACGTTATATTTCAGGAGACCTTATAATGTCAGTTTGTCCCACTATTAATGATGTAAAGCTTGATAATTTTGGTTAGGGTGATAATTGCTGGTTCTCTCCATAAGTAAAGGGACCTTATTCTCTTTGCAGTTACTAAGTAATCGGTAGGGTAGTACTTGGTACTACATGAGCATTGTGTTACCCAACATCATTTCACCTAATAAATTTAAAAACCATTGATGATCTTTCCCCTAATCAGTTGTCACTGGGATTGCTGATTGATTTTCTAATTCTATTATTTCTACATTTATTAGCTGATATTATTCTGTGAAGAAGAGTTTTTTTTTTTGTTGAACCCTTATTTTTTAATTCTAGTGTGGTGTGTTTGGGGAGTTTTTTTGTTGTTTTGGCTTGTTTTCAAATTATGAATTTTTATATTTTTCAGGGTAATATCAGTTACAGTCATTATTCTTTTTGGTGCTCAAATTGTCCCAAATATAGGAACCTCTACAAACTGGCCCTTTTTAACACCTTTCCATTTTTTTTTTTTTTTTAAAGATTTTTTATTTATTTATTTGAGAGAGGGAATGAGAGAGAGAGAGCATGAGAGGGGGGAGGGCCAGAGGGAGAAGCAGACTCCCCGCCGAGCAGGGAGCCCGATGCGGGACTCGATCCCAGAACTCCAGGATCATGACCGGAGCTGAAGGCAGTCACCCAACCAACTGAGCCACCCAGGTGCCCCTTAACACCTTTCCATTAAGCTTTGGGCATTTCCTTGCTTTCTGACAAGCCTATTTTTTTACTCACCTGCCCTGGACTTGGAATTAGCCATTTATTAATGGTACCGTCTTGCCTAAAAGCTGTCCAGTTTGTTTTTACTGTGCAATTTTTCTGTCTTTAGAATTCATTTTTGCCATAATGAAGTTAACATATTCCATCCTCCTGTTTCATGAGTTTCATTGTTAAAATGGTTTTATGGTAGGTCACCTAGAAGGTGGGAAAGAGTGCCTTTTTCCACTAATGGAGTGGTACTTTCACATAACCTTAAAATTTTAAGTTAAAGCTATCCTCACCTCAGCTCCATTAGGTAGTATATGCCCTTCAAACCAGTAGACTATTAATGTATTAAGATACTTGGCTGAAATAGATAGGTTTAGCTGTGTACTCTAATGATAATGCTAACTGGCATTGAAACTGCTTTTGCCTTTATGCTGAAAAACTTAAAATACCCAATGGGTATTGTTGGGACAGAATTAAAACCAAAAAACTAAGGGGACAGGTATTATTTCCAGTTCTGTTGCCTTTAGCCCTGCATTGGCTATGGCTCTATAAGAATGGGTATTCTAAAAAAAGAAGAAGAACAGTTATTTAAAAGTAGCAGGGCCCAGCTCTGTGACACAGAATGTGCTAGAAACTGCAAGGTAGAAAGAGGCAGTCTTCATAGCTAGCCTGACTCTACTTCAAAAGTTGCAGTGGAATTACAGAACAAATAAGCAATGTTATCTGGAAATGAAAAGGGAGTTCTAATTGCTAGGTTATAGTTTCAGGATAGATTTCTAATGGTCTTCCAATTTGTGTTTCAGATGATAGTAGGAAATTATTGATACAGATACTTTACCTCACTAAAGATCAATTCTAGATTTTGTGAAAATGCTAATAAATGAAAAACGTATAAGCCTCCAATATTTGGATTTTAAATAATTACTCAAGCATATTAAGTATATGATTGAAGTAGACACTGACTGACTTAGACTACCATAACAGTTGTTCCTAAGTGGACTCTAACCCAAATCATAAAGTATCTCAAGAAGTCCAAAGGAAAAACTTTGTGAAAATGATCGTTTTTCCACTTGATTTGTCTTGGTGATTTTTCTGTTTTATTCTTGTGTTTAATTTTAGACTGTAAACTCTTTGTGATAGAAACTGTATTTATAGCGTACATTCTCTACAGTGTTGGTAAAGTATCATGGACACACTTGTGCCATAAATATTTACCAGCTGTTAGAGGTCCTTACCGACAGCTTAGTGCCCCTCTGGCACAAATCACTGTACAGTTGTCATCTTTGGCAGAAAGCTGATGTTGAAAATCTAAGCCAAAATTCTTTTGCTTAACCAAGGCAAACCTGTGAAGTGTTGAATTAGTGAACCTTTTTTTATTTGATAACTGAGGTTTTTGCCTTATCCAAATTTTAATAATTCTTGTGGCATTTACACACTCACCAGAGGTCACCTAAAGCTCTTAGCTTATTACATACTTCCAATAAGACATTGAATGCTTCTTTAGCTTTATCTGTATCTCTACTCATGTTCATTAATTGTCCATTATTTTTTCTTATTCTGTTTATACAGCGAACATATTTTTTCCTTAAACTTAAAGAAAAGCTCTATTTTTTATATAAAGTATTAAACTTTTGATCTGATAAACAGTTCTATTTGGGGGATTCCTTATCCCCACAAGATAAGAAAATTATGGCTAATGAAGACATAAAATAAGACGTATTTCTTACAATTCTTGCTGTGAATAAAAATAATAGTGAACATTTATTAATAAAGAAAATGTCTTCCTCTCCCTTTAAATTTCCCTCCTTTTAGGAGGTATTGTAGTACTTGATAAAACTGAGTAAACATTTTTTTCTACCTCTTACCCCTGACTATTAAATATGTAAGCATGCTTTCCTTTGCTGCTTAATTTTGTATAAGCCTTTCTTATAGTATATCTAAATATTCTCCAGTGCTTCTTAGTGCTTCTGTACCTTAAGGACTTATACATGTTAATTAATAGTATAGCCATCAGGTGTCCACCTTATTTTCTCTGTTTACGTTTTTTAAATGAAAAAGAGCTTAAGAAACAGCATTTAAGATCTGTGAAGTGCATATTATTTCATAGATACAGACCTACCCTTGTAGTACTTGCATGAAAAAGAAATAGGGATGATTTCTAAAAAGCAAAGGTTTTTCTCTCTAGTTTGAAATATGATCATACCAGTAAAATTTTTTCCAGGATTTTCTGCCTATTAAACAAGAAAACGAAAAACCAATTCCAGAAAACATGGATGCATTTGAAAAAGTGAGAACAAAATTAGAAACACAACCACAAGAAGAATACGAAATCATCAATGCAGAGGTAGGATATCTTATGTCTTTTTTTTTTTTTTTTTTTTTTTTTGTAATCTGGTATTACCGGTCAGGATGCAAATGAAATACTTTGTGATTCTAGACATAATCCCACAACAAAATTAAACTGCTTTTGCCTTTATGCTGAAAAACTTAACAAAGAATAAGCAGAATGTGGTTTTTAAAATAAACTGTAAATGAATTTCAAAATCAAAATGAATGTCCAAGTTACTTTGTTAATTCTGGTTTTTGGAAGCAAACACTTGTATTTTTAAATGTTTTAAATAATTCCAAGGAGAAGTTCATATGAAACCATCAACCATCATTTTTTTATTATTATTTGAAAAGTATTTGTCTACACTTTTTTTTTTAAATAAAAGGAAGTACACTTTAAGTAGTGTAATACCATGAAAGCCAAGTAATTGACCATTTAATGGTGTTACCACAATCATATATCTAGTTGAAACAGATTGAACATGCATGTTGCAACTTTTTCATTAAGACTGGAAAACAGAACCACAGCTTATAAATGAAAATCACATTCATAGTATAATAGAAATAGCAGTAGGTTAAGAATCAGGAATTCCAGATTCAAAATAAGTCATTAACTAGCAGGTAATAAATGCGTCTTAGGCTACCCGAAGTCATATCAATCAATCAATTGCATTTAACATATAGGTATTAGACAAGAGCACTATTTATATATTGGGTAATATTCTCTCAATCTCAAATTGTGTATATCTATCAACCCATAAGATGCTTTGTATAAAATCAAATTGAGGGGTGCCTGCATGATGCGGTCAACTGGGCATTGTACTCTAGGTTTCAGTTTAGGTCATGATCTCAGGGTCATGAGATAGAGCCCCAAGTCAGGGTCCACCCTCAGTGCAGAGGCTGCTTGAGACTCTTTCTCCCTCTGCCCCTCCTTCCTGCTCTCTCACTCACGCACACGTGCGCTCTCACTCTCTCAAATAAATAAATCTTTTTTTAAAAAAATCAAATTGAAACCAGGACAGTTGGTGGTGACTGCATATTTTAGAGGAAAGAATCTCAGCAGGTTATTGATTGTGTTTTCATACTAATCTGAACCACTATTTCTTCATCTGCCTCATTTTAGATTACCTTGAAGATTTTATTTAATCTTTTGTTAACTGAATCCCACCATAGGGATGTCAGATACTCCCAAAATATAGCTAAAGTGGTTTGTTATCGTCATAAGAGCCAAAACAGATTTTGTTATGCCTTCTCTTTGTTGACTCTTAAATTTATGTATTAAAACTCCTCTGGTGATTGTGATTGTATGAAAACTGTATCTTAATTACTGTGTTGTAAAAAGTGATCCACTTTAAATTTTTTATGTGTTCATTCATAGACATAGGTCTGCTTTTTATAAAAGATCTCATTTTTTTTTTTTCCATCTTAAATGGTCAGACCAGGGGCTCCTGGGTGGCTCAGTTAGTTAAGCATTTGCCTTTGGCTCAGGTCATGATCTCAGGGTCCTGGATTGAGCCCCGCATCGGACTCCCTGCTGAGCAGGGAGTCTGTTTCTTCTGACCCTCCTCCCTGCTCGTGCTCTCACGCTCTCTCTGTCAAATGAATAAATAAAAAGTCTTAAAAATAAATGGTCAGACCATCAAACAGTTAATTAAATTGTGTTTAAATTATTATTAAACCATTTTTCTTTTTTTTTTTTTGGTCAGGTTAAGCATGGTGGTTTCGTTTATTATCAAGAAGGTTGCTGCTTGGTTCGTTCCAAAGACGAAGAAGGTACACCATAGTTTTTCCTTTTTTTTCTAACGTACTCTGATTTTTCATAGGAAATTCGGTATTAATTTCTCAAAGGTATAGAAAATATATAGAGATTTTTAGATTATTTCTACATTTTTTTTAAAAAATGACTAGTTAATATCTGGATTTGCTCAAGATACAGTTAACAGCTATGCCCAAAAGCTTTGGTGGGGAGAATGGAGGTGGGATCCAGTATTTTTTGAGCATCTCCTATATCCCAAGTACTACTCTGAGTCTTTTACATAGTTTATTCAATGTCATTTACGTTCTGTTAACGCTCTAGTTTCTCCATGGTCTGTACTATGAAGGAAGCCGAATGTAGCCTCTCATAGAAGGGGAATGCTAATTCAAAGCACTGAAATACAGTTTAAAGATTTTTTTAAGTACATCTTACGGAGTTAACACTTTCATACTTTTCTTTATGCAGCAGATAATGATAATTACGAAGTTTTATTCAATTTGGAGGAACTTAAATTAGACCAGCCCTTCATTGATTGTATCAGAGTTGCTCCTGATGAAAAATACGTAGCTGCTAAGATAAGAACTGAAGATTCTGAAGCATCTACCTGTATAGTTGTGAAGCTCAGTGATCAGCCTGTAATGGAAGCCTCTTTCCCAAATGTGTCCAGTTTTGGTAAGCCACCAAACAAAACAGTCTTCATGTGGAGCCCCACATGAGGCTCAAGCTCATGACCTGTGCCAAAATCAAGAGTCGGATGTTCACCGACTGAGCCACCCAGGCACCCCCTGAGACATACATTGTGTACATTTTAACCTCTCTAAAATCAAGATGCTATTATACAATGATGTGTTACAGTCACTGTCAGCCAGGTGGCAGTCATGGTGTGATTGTGTGAAAACTTCATTGACAGCTTCTGGTAAGATCAAGCAAACTCCACCATGAAAATGTATTTGGTAGTTTGAGATATTCTGTGGTTTGAGGGTAGACAGAAAAGAGATAAGCATGAGAGAATGTGATCCAGAGTTTCTTTAGACTCAAAGTTAGAGATTGTAGATGTAAACCTAACTTATCTCCTGTAAGCATGTGACACTGAGATACTGAACATTCAACTCTTATTTAGAAACCTGAGACTGAGAACTACTTGAAACCTTGGAATTGATATAGTAATATTTTATTCTCCAGAAAGCTTTCTGACTTCTATATAACATTGGTTAGCTCCAGTCAAACCTGTGTTCGATTTTACATTTCCAGGGATGAACTTGTAAATCTCTTTTTTTTTGTGGCACTCAAAATTTGAATGCCCTGTGCCCTTTTTTTCAACTGTAAATAATATGTAATGTATAGTTCTTTAATTATTTTCTTTCAGAATGGGTAAAGGATGAAGAAGAGGAAGATGTCTTATTCTACACTTTCCAGAGGAACCTTCGCTGTCATGATGTGTATCGAGCAACTTTTGGTGATAACAAACGTAATGAACGTTTTTACACAGAAAAGGACCCAAGGTACTAGAATAATGCAATTAAATTTTTTTCTCCAGGGTTTTTCTCCAGTTATCTAAAGTGCTGTTCTTGAGTGACATAAAATGTTGATTTCAGCTAGAACCAGGTGTAATAATAGGCTAAGATGAGCATAATCATTCTTTGATTAGTTGGATTTAAAATTGGAATCTAGTTATATTCAGACTCCACAGTGACCACAAATACACCATTAGACTGCAAATACTAAGTTGCTAACATTCTCTGGGGACTGACACATGAAAGAGTTAATTAAGTCTTTAATAGGGTTGTTATACTACATTTTTTAAATCTTTTATAAGCCATTACTAGAATACCATGGTGTCAGTGGCTCAGAATTCACTACTCATTTCAGATAAATTATCTGCCTTTTAAATTGTTTAACTTTGAGCCATGATGTCCACTGATCTTTAAATTTTGTTCTCCCCAGTATTTTGGTAATTCCTCCCTAAAGGTAATTCTCTTTACTTCCTTATAATCTAGGACTCATGCCTCATATTACCACTTAGCAGGCTTGGGAGGAAATGACAATAAGTTTATCTGGCAAAATCCCTTGACTGTTACCCAGATACGCTTTTCCAAATGATTTATGAGAAACAAATTTCTCCTTAAGACTAGGGTCCTATCACCTTATATGTCATTTAACAGTATAGCTTGGACAATGTCTGAACAGATTTTACAAGAAAAAAAAAAGGCATCCGTGTCAGTGAAGTTGATACTCAAAACAAGGAAATTAATCCATCATTTCATGAAATTTCAGAACTGACGAGGATCTTAATGAAAATCTTATACAGCCCCCAGTTTATATTGAGAATTTGAGGTTTAGAGAAATTCCATTATTCCAGCCCATAGAACTAACATTCTTGGTCTAGTAATGCTGTCATTGCCCTCCCCCTCCCATGATTTTTTTTGGTGAGAAATTAATAGAACTATTTATTCATACGATTCTATTTTATGTGTCATTCGTCAAGGATATCCTTTGGGGAGATGATAGTTTAAGGTAGTAATTTACTATGTTCTATCAATAACTTATGATTACAACCCATTTGCCATCTTGTGAATAAAGCTCAAAATTAACACAGTAAAGCTATACCCTTGAGTAAGATATTTGTTTGCCATATATTGGTACCATCCTAATTTCTAAGATTAAGTGGAATCTGTTTGGCTTGTACATACTTTCCTGCTCCATAAGGAACTAACCAGTTATGGTTATGCCTCATTTGACATTCAGAACCCTGATCTACAACAAACTAGTTTGTAAATTCTTAACACTTTATAATCCCCAAATCCAGAGGGGAGGACCAAAGGGAAGAGTAGCATACCTAAAGAGAAAAGGGAGTAAAGGTCTTCAGAGAACTTCTAAAACACAGAGCTGCTTCTTTACTGTGTTTGCTTTGATCCTCAGGGTTTAGTTTTCTGTTCTCATAAGTAAAGTTCACCAAAGTGTGTAATTTCCATTTACCTGCCTCTGGTGGCCCAGGTTGGGGTACCTGATTTTTAAAAAGGTATTGTCATAAATGTGCGTGAAAAGAACTCTTGTGAGCCAGGTTCTTCATCTGCTTTGTTTCCAGTGTTTGAGTAAATTTGGTTGTTCAAAGGTAGCTTTTTGTTTTGATACTAGAATGCCTCTAAAAATCATGTTCAAGGAAAATGCCTCTCCACTATTCTTAAAGATTGATACGTTTTAAATATATATTCTTCCATTTTCAGATATTTCCAGGGCCATTTAATTCACACATTCTAGGGAGAGCAGAATTATAAAGATTCTAAAGGGAAAGATCTGAACAGAATTAGGAGACCTGCCTTTTAAGTCACTGAAAAACACCACCTCCCTCCCCACCATCAAAAACCATTACTGGTAGGGTGCCTGGGTGGCTCAGTTGGTTAAGCGACTGCCTTCGGCTCGGGTCATGATCCTGGAGTCCCAGGATCGAGTCCCACATCGGGCTCCCTGCTCAGCGGGGAGTCTGCTTCTCCCTCTGACCCTCTTCCCTCTCGTGCTCTCTAACTCTCATTCTCTCTCAAATAAATAAATAAAATCTTTAAAAAAAAAAAAACCATTACTGGTATAAATATTATTCACTATATGATTTACAGTTTGGTTCTATCACTAGAGGCCAGAACAGGGCTAAATTAGAAAAGCCCATGGGAGGTTACTGAAACTGACCTGGTCATTGAAGGCTGGAGGTCTAAACCCCAAAGATCCCAGTGAGGACAACTCAGGGTAACCTTGAATATATTAAGCTGCACCAAACACTTAACATCTTAGAAATTTCAAGTAAAAGGAATTTTAGAGGTAAACTTTGATTTCTTTTTTTTTTTTTAAGATTTTATTTATTTGACAGAGAGAGAGACATAGTGAGAGAGGGAACAGAAGCAGGGGGAGTGGGAGGGGAGAAGCAGAGCAGGGAGCCCGATGCGGGGCTTGATCCCAGGACCCTGGGACCATGACCTGAGCCGAAGGCAGACGCTTAACGACTGAGCCACCCAGGCACCCCAGACCTTTGACTTCTTTTAGCAATCAGTCTTTTGAAATCTAGAGACAGTTAAAGATTTACATGAAATCATACAGTTGATCAGAAAACACACACTTGCATCTTTTAGCACTTGATTCTGCTCTTCCTTTTCAATAAAACTTAAATTCTTGTGTGAGAAATGGAATTAGCCTGGAATGGCCCCTTTTCCTCTATGTGGCAGACGGTTCTAGTCTTATTTCTTCTATAGATTGTTTGATCTTGGACAAGCCATTTCTTGTTCAGTTTCTGTGTCCTTGGTAATGCTTTACCTAGGTAATGCTTTAGAATTTAGATAATGACACTCACATGTTGATTCCAAAAGTCTGAGTTTATTTTGTGTTTCTATGTTCCTTTCATACTTTTGAGTATACCTATCTTTAAATATATTTATGCAAATTAAAAATCCTTGCAAATCATTTCAAACTCCTCACTTACATATCCAATAATACTGCAGAATGGGAAAATTAGAGTTTGCTACCCATATAGGCATAATGGTTGCAACCAGTGTAATTAATAAAAAGACATGTTTGCTTATTAAAATTGAAATTGATTTTGTGCATTACAGCATGGTCCCTACAGGTAAATTCATAAGACAACCTAGAACTGCTAGGTTATGAGCAGAGACTTAATCACTTTCATGTCTTTATTGATAACTAGGGTACCAGGCCTGTATTAATTGCCATTCATGTAGCCTATTAATTGAGTAAATGGTGCACTTAAGTCAATTTCTCTTTCAAGCTAAAACCCTAGTCCAGTGATAACTCTGAGTAACTTTTAACCATTGAATTCTTAGCAGTATATAGCAGAATTTAAAGTGTGTGTTGCCTTGTGGTAAGCATAGCATAACATACAAACTTGTCAAATTACTATGTTGTACACCTTAAACTAATGTAACGTGCATCACCTGTATTCAAAAAAAAAGTATATGTTGCTACTAAATCATAAATTAAAACTAATAGAAAAATATTGTGGTAGGTGAAAAAAATGAATATGTAGTATGTCAACTTATTTTTCATAGTAAGCAATTATTTTTATAATCAGAGGTAAAATATATTTTAAGTTTAATATCAATAGAAATAAATGGGAAAATGGATTGGCCTTAGTTCTTTATATTCCTTGTCTTCTCTCTTTTTGAATTGAAAGTACTTTGGTATCATCCTGTAATGTTTTTTGTTAATGTACACATGTCTTTTTTTAAGATTTACTTTTTTTTTCAGCTTTTTTGAGATATATATTACAAGTTGAAAGTATATGTGGTGATTTGATACATTATACCTATCATAAAATGATTAACACAAGAGAGGTAATATCTCAATCACCTCACAGATTACCACATTTTTATGTATGGTGGGAACATTTAAAATCTACTGTCTTGGCTACTTTTGAGTATATAATACTGTATTGCTAACTCTATAGTTACCATGCTGGACATCGATCCCCAGAGCTTATTCATCTTATATAACTAAAGATATGGGGGTGTCTGGGTGGCCCAGTCCATTAAGCATCCAACTCTTGGTTTCTGCTCAGGTCATGATCTCTGGGTTGTGAGATCAAGCCCCGCGTTGGGCTCCACGCTGGGCTCTGCGCTGGGCATGGAGCCTGCCTAAGATTCTCTCCCTCTCCCTCTGGCCCTATCCCTCCTCCCCCCCTCTCAAATAGATAAATAACTGAAGGCATGTACCCTTTCTCCGTTATCTCCCCATTTCACCTACCTCTCAGTTCCTGGCCAGCATTCTACTGCTCTGTTTCTCTGAGTTTGGCTTTTGTAGATTCCACATATATGTGATGTCATAGGATATTTGTCTTTTTCTATCTGACTTACTAGCATAATGCCCTCAAGGCCGATCCATGTTGTTGCAAATGGCAAGATTTCCCTTTTGTCATGGCTGAATAATACTACACAGTGTTGTGTGTGTGTGTGTGTGTGTATTCTTTATTCATCCATCAGTGGACACTTAGGTTGTTTCCTTGGCTATTGTTAATACTACAGTAAACTTGGGAGTGTAGATATCTTTGTGACACAGACTCCATTTCCTTTAGATAGTACCCAGAAGTGGGGTTGTTAAATCATGGGGTAGTTTGGCAGTTCCTTTTTTAATGTTTTTAAGATTATATTTACTTAAGAGAATTTGCATGAGAGCGGGATGAGGAGCAGAGAGGGAGAGAAACCCAACCAGACTCCCGCTGAGCACAGAGCCCAACATGGGACTTGATCCCATGACTCCAAGATCATGACCTAAGCCGAAACCAAGTCAGATGCCTAACCAACTGAGCCATACAGGTGCCTCTCCTTTTTTAATTTTTTGGGGAACTTTCCTTTTTTTTTTTCCATGATAGTTGTATCAGTTTACATTCTCACCAACAGTACACAAGGGTTTCCTTTTCTCCACATCCTCACTAACATCAGTTACCACTTAACCACTTGTCTTTTTGATAATTCTAACGTATGTGAAGTGATATTGTGATTTTGAT